GTACCAGAGAACGAAGTTCCCAAGAAGCATCAGCAACACTTACGCCTTTCGTTCTCACAACGATGCCCAGCCTATTAGTCCACAGTCCTCCCTAGTCAATTTCATAGATTTACACTCTGCAATTCAGACTCCCTGACTATAAAATGACACTAACACAAAAAGTTCAAACACAGGGTTCTTCAATCCTTTGAATTATAATTAAAATCTATTAAAATACCATGTCTTTGGTGACAGTGACAAAGCAAACTTCACTAAGCTGTGTTTAAAAGGACTCAAAGCTAAACGAAACTCATTTTCGCTTTAAATCTGATTTTGACACTGACATACCATTATTGTTGAAGCTTTTCAAAAAATGCATTCATGATTTTCCCTATCTAGACATATTTCATTAGGGAAATACTTTTTTTATTCTGTTTACAAAGAGGATTAGAAAGCATTGCATCTTTCACATAAATATAAAACTCTGTAACCCAACAATTTGAAAATTTGTACTGCTCATTCTCAGCCCATGGGAACAGCAAAAATACCTGGAACAGGAGATGTGGAAAACAGAATGTTTGACAGATAAGATATTTGACAGTAGATGAGACTTAGATCACTCACATAAAGTTTCAAATTCTTTCTCTGCAATTTACAGAGCTCAAAAAGATTAGGTTTCAAAGTAGGAAGAAAGCATATCCTAAAAACAATTATTATTCCCAGAAGACACCATAATTTTCCACCTAGAAATACACATATGGACAAACCCATTTAACAACAAATAAGCAAAAAATCTGGCTTCTGACTAAATGGCAAAGACAAAAAGAAAAGGAAAGAAGCAATTACAAAACAATGTGCCAAGTACACTCAGTTATGTGTTTGCTGTTGCTGATCCAACCCACAGAGCATGTTGTGTGCCATTTGCTTTGCTCCAGGTGGGTGACCCAAGAGCAAGAGGCACATGCACAAACATTTTACTCTCTCCTGAGCTGTCCTTCTTAACATACATTTTCACTTCTTTCTGCTGTACCAATGTTGTTATCTCTGATGGAACAATATAGTAATCAAAAGCAGAAAAGTCACAGTAGGAAGGTTTTCCTAAGCTGGTTAGCCACGCTGTATCTCTGCATTAAGCAAGACAGGTTAACTAGATAAGTCTTGCACCTTCCAGAGAAGCAGGATCAAAGCAGGTAACTAATTTGAAATTATAAGCCATTCCCTACCACAAATGGAGATGCAAATTTAAGAAAGCACATTGAAAATATATGGGATAATTAATTCACTGTCGTTATAAGATGCAACATATCTGGTTGTTGCATTTACATTCTTCCAATACCATGACACAAACATCTAAAGAAAAAGAAACATGATTTTCATTAATGCAGCTCATATCTATTAAAAGTAAGTAGTTAAGCCAATAGGCTTTGGTACTGAATTATTAAGAATGTGATTCAAAATAACAGTTATTCAGAAAACAACAATATCAAAAAAGATTTCACTGCAATGGAAGAAAGCACACATGATATGCTTCAGCTGTGTACAATCTGTTCACCTATACAGTTCAACACAATTCAAACAAAATCCCAGTTTGCAAATCCAGGCCTCTGAGAAGAGATTCCTACTAAGAGATTTCTTCTGGTTTCATTAAAATGGCTCAAGGAAGCAAGAGACAGGATTAAGTCAAGTCATGAGTCACTAGGTTATACAGATATGCCTCACACGTACACAAAAAAATATTTGAAAATTATTTTAATATTCAGTTACAAAAAAAATCCCCAAGAAGTGAATTTACCTACTAAAGCTGAAGATAATCATAAGCCAATTTTGTGAATACTTTCACAGATGAAAAGACCTAATCATTTGGTTGAAATCACTCATGGCAAGGATGAGGTCAGGAATTACTTAGATGAGTACAGTTACCAACACTACAATAACTTGTAAATAATCAATAATTCTGCAAATAAATAAGTACTTTGGGACAGAAAGCACCTGGTTTTCAGTTGCTCTTCCAGGTGAACAACACAGAAACTAGAAATTAAGCAAGATTCCAATTCTCTAAGGAAACACAGAGTGTATTACAATATCCTGATAATAAATAAAATGTTTCCTCACAATAAGATTATCTAAGATATGGATGAGAGTGCACATCCAGTTTAGGCAAGGATTTCATATCAAAACATTCTACTTATTGCAGCAGAAATGCATCTCAATTAACACACATCCAAATCTTCACATGACCAACTCAGGCCCCTCCAGAGTAAACTGTGTCTCTGCTCATCCCTTCTTTCCCTAGGGACAAAGCAGATCCTACTGTCTCCATCTATCCTAGTACCTATAGGCAGCACTACAGTTTCTTCAGTAGGATCCTTCAAACAGCCCGTATTTTCCCTCTTCCCCTTTTCCCTTTCTGTTGCCCAGAACTACTGGCATATGTCCTGGCTCCTCACAGACTTTGGTGCATGGCAGCACTCCCACCCCTTCATTTCATCTCAGCTTGGGTATCTGCCCATTTTCCTGCCATTCCAAATTCTTCATACCCAAAATGAAACAAACACCATTAAGAAGTCTTCTCTCACTTGTCCCCAAGAAATAAATCCCCTCTGCTAGGCACATGCAGTTTCCTCTCTGCTAATTCCTCCAAAAATTGGACAGGGTTTCTACCTGTCAATTACTTCTCCTTAGAGGTGACGGACTGAAAGTAATGTCACTTCTTAAGAGTCAGTAGGTGGATGAAGCTTTTGGCAACTTTCCCAGAAACCCGTTTCTTGTTTCTGCAAGATACTGCTGGGGCAAAGTTGCTAATCTACAACTGTGCTGCAAATCTCAGCCCAAGAACATATGTTCTTGTGCTGTCAAGAGAGAGAACTGCAGTGAAAACATTACATAGTGCCAACCGCCCACAAAAGATATATGGGTGCTCAAGCCCAATGCACTGAGCAGAAAATTAAGATTGTTCTCATTGCTTTTCTCAAAATGTCTGTCATCTATAATCAATGAAACAGTCTGGAACAAAGCACAGCCATCTCTTTGTTATACGAGTAGCTGAAGAAAACAACCTAAGAAAATAGTGAGGATTTTCTATAGTTCAAATAACACAAATATATTTGTAAAAACTCAGTGTTAGTTCCTGGTGACAGGAACTTCAAAAATACACCTTATAAAATAATAATAGAAATGAAATTGTTGTTTATATTGGGAAAAGAAAGTAGAATTCTTAATATCCATTCCTAAGAGAAATAGGATTGACTATAAAATCTTGACTCACATGAAGCAATTAAGACACTGAAAACAGAAAAAACCAGTCTAACACAAATGAACTCGAGATTAATTCATAACACACATTGCACAGCAATTACTATTTAATTCCAGATGTTTAGTAAATCTTACCTATATTCAAAAGATCAATATAAAAAATATGCAAAAAAGGTAAACCAAATTATCAGTATCTATTGTGCTAATTAATATAACTTAAATTTTTTCCAATCTTTTTGATTTAAGGTTCTCTGGTGCCTTGTTTCCCATCACTGTATGAGATCACATGCATTCCTTTCCAGCTTGGTCACTGTACTCCAGTAGACATGAAATATTTTCACAAAAATCAAGAGTAAGTACATGCTGAACAACTAATGATGCAAGAAAACTAGTGTGAAAGATGAGCTGCTGTTCAGTTTCCTCCAATTTCTTCAGACACTCAGAGAAATTTGATCATGCTATGTATGGCCCTTCATATCTATGCTTGTGGAGTAATGAAATGTCATCTCACTATGATTGCAGAAAAATTAACTGAAAATGTTAATACTTAAAAAGGATTAGATTATAATTTTTCTTCTCTGAATCAGAATAGATTAAAAGACATTATTTCAAAACAACATACACTTCTGTGCCACAAGTGCCACACCAGTACAAGTGACAGAAAATATACCATTACCTGCAATCCTGCTCCAGCAGAAACCTAACAACACCATGTTAAACAGACACCTCTGCATGCCTATAAGCACTGAGCTTTTACAGATGTTTTTGAAATGAACAAAAGCCCACCAAAAATAGCTCAGTTCATTAGCAGCATATAATGACTTCTTTATTTGGGTGACGGAGTCCCAACTGCTGAGTCTTAGTTTGCATTTATACTATGCAGAAATAATAAAAATGAAGGGAAAGAAATAAAAGCTAAAATAAGCTGTGTATTTGCCATGATGACTTTGTGCTGTATAGTCAATATGGTAACCATAAGTGTAATATTCTTTTTAAATTACTCATTTCTATTAGAAAATACTTTTTTTCCTTCTGAGTTTGTCTGCAAGTTATCATCACAAATATGGGCAATGTTGGGATCTGTACAAAAGGGTATGTTTCTTCCAATTTATTTTTTTTAATAATGCACTGAGAAGAGAGCTTCCTGCTGACTTCTCTAGTGAGTAATGCAATTCATATAAAGATACTGAAATCATATTGAAAAAAATATGGAAAAAATATTCACTCTACATTTCACTATTTTGGTTTAAAGAATGTTATTGAAATGAGAAATCATTTGCAATTTGTGTTTTGTGTTACTTGACTAGAGCCTCAGAAAGTGAAAACTAGCAAAGCTGTGTCAGAAAGACAAACCAGACCAGCTGTGGGCATTCAGATTATTTACTGACATTAGGACTTCTACAGAGATCAGTAAAAATCATTACAGACAAGGCCTATTAACTTAAAAAAAAATAAACCAAAAAAACACCACACCACCCAAATGCATGACAGCATTTAGGCCCTGCTTTGCAGAGTAATGAGTAATCTGAGCTTCAACTACAGCTAACAGCAAAAATCAAGTTTTTAGAATCCCTGCTGTGTGGATCACAAAGAGTATCTGAAGAGCAGGACACACGTGTGACTCATACACTTCTCTGCTGATGATATGATTTGGAAGACAAGGTCAGAAAACACAACTTTAAACAAGGAGCAGGTGAGAGAGGCTGGAAATAATTCAGGACTCATACATATTTTCCATTTATTTCATAAAGAAGGAGAAAGAAATATACCTTTCTTTCATGCGCACTGGGCACGCCAGGGGTGTTCTGCTTGAGGAATCCTGCTGTTGTGGACCACCTTGTAGGGTTTTTCCGTGAAGGTTCTTCTGAAGAAAAATTTGTGTCACTTACAGAGGTTGAGAGGCCAATCAGTGCAGGGTCACTACTGCGTCGGACATGAAGAGGCATATCTGAAGAATAAAACAGACAGTAAATAAACACTGACTAGATTTAAAATGTTTTTGACAAAGGAAAAATATTTTTTCAAGCTCTGGATGGGTGGTTTTGACCAAATGTGGTTTCACAGAGTAAGGAGTTATTGACCTCAGCATAGCTCCTCAAGGACAAGGTCTGTTTCCTCAAAACCACAGCCTTGCTGCTTGGCCACACAAGGAGAAAATGAAGGGAAAATCAAACTCTGAACACAGCACAGCTTGGTGGCTTTCTGAGTGTGAGCACGGCATCGCTCCTATCTGCTGGTTGTTATGTAAAATAAAAAAGAGTGAGTAGCCAAAGCCTGGTGACAAAGGGGTGGACTAGGACGATGTGCCCCCCATGCCACTGCCTGGGCAGTGCTAGCACAGCACGCTGTCAAGAAGCTGCCAGCCAGCAAAAGGCAGCCTCCTCACCCTCTAAAATATACTCTCAATTTCTTTCTCAAAACTTATGGAAGAGACTGTTTTCTATTCTGCATTCTTCCTTTGCCTCTTCCTGACAGCTGAAACAAGATCAGTGCTGATTTACCCTGATTCCCTTAGCCTTCCAGCTGGCATGAGTGACAGAAGAAAAATATTTCATTAGTAATAAATGATGCAGCAGGCAGGTAGACTGATTGGAAAGAGATAAGGTTTTCTTAATATACGCAGAGGTCACATCCATTCTGGAAACTTTGATAGCACATTAAAGGTAGTTTTTCTTGAAATACAACTTAATTTTTTTCAATTTCATTTATTATCCTACAACAAATATCCACACATCTATCCTCTCCTTGCCCAAACAGAAGTTTCATTGCCTGAATTTGTGACCTCTTAGTACTCTTCCACTCAGCATCAGAACAGAGGGGCTGTGATTTATCAGTTTTATTTCTCTTTATTGCTGCACTGGGAACCTTGAATGCAAAGTGGAAAAGAAAAAGGTGAAAGCGATGGAACGTAAGCAGCAGAGTCAGTGGAAAAGTCACACTGGACAACAGCTGAGAATAAAAACCAGAACTATGTTTTAATGCTAGCATGAAACAGTTCCCAAGGAAACTGAAGGTGCATGTCTCACAACACCAGCAGGAAAACACAGTGATCGAAGTTGTTTGTTAAATGAGTGGACAATCAACAATATCTTTACGTGAATGCCACATATAATACTAATAATCATCTTATTTTGCATGGTATTATAAAGACACTGAGAAATACAGAAAGTCATGCCACACAATGAAAACGTGTGAGGGTTTTTTTAAATTTGCTAGGACTCTTGCTGTTGAGATATGCAGAAGTGTACACAAACAAACACCAAAACACTCTATTTTATGTTCAGTATGGCAAACAATAACAAAGAATTCATGTTTTTTCCCTCACAACTGTTGTACTATTTCTCTTTCCTTTCAATTTTTTCTTTTCATTTTCATAACAGAGTTAATTTAGAGGAAATAAAATGCTCTTATGAATATGTATACACATATTTATACACATACATACTCTATACACACATATATATGTGTAAAACAGAACAAGAATTAACTACAAGAATATTTCATGAAAGATCACTAATTATGCAGGAAAGTCTTAATGGTCTCAGTTAAGTCTACTTGGAATTTGATTGCTCAGTATATACTCATAAACTCTTATAGAGGGTTTTTCTTTGATTGCCTTGTCTTCAACTACTTCAAGTTTCATGAAGCAGGTGAAGGCAAAGCATCTCCTCTCCCCCTCTACAGCAAACATACTGACAGTGCACTATATCAAATCACAAGAGGTCTCTGAACAAAGGTGGCTCAGCTGCAGCCCCAGCCAGTGCCTCACCACACAGGATGAAATGACCCCTTCAGAGCACTGCCTGTGCTCCTGGTGCAGCCCTGAACATTCACTCTCGTTTATTAGATCAGCCTGAGCCAGAAAGTGGCTCTCTAGTATGTAGTGCTTCTTAAGAAAAATACTAATCTATGTTTGTTCCAAGCAGCACCCCATGCATATTATCCTGTTTGCCTTAGCTACCCACCCTACAACAGAGAACTACAATTTTCAAACATGAGTTCACTTGCTCCTTATGCTTGTACATCTATATATAAGCACGGTGATAGCAAAATGTTCTTGTATTTTTACACTTCTTCTCCAAATTGCTTGACAAAACAAAAGTTCAGTTGGGTGAACTTCTGCAAGAAAAGAAGCCAAACTGCCAACAAAGAAAGAAAGGAAGAAACTGGAACTCAAGCCAGCATTTCTGGAGAGGAACAAGCCTTTATCAGTTCCTTGGCTTTCACTTCGTAGTGAAAACCTGACAGTCTGCCCAATGCTAAGAAGTAGTGACTTTTCAAAATACAGGTAGTCAATTATGCAGCAGAATTCCCAAATATTAATATGCTCCAGAGAAAACATTAATATGAGAAGCTTCTCTACAATATTTACTCACAGATGAGCCACCTTTAATATGATCAGCTCCATTTTAGTAACATTAGTTATTGAGATATTTTCAGACATTTTTTGAACACTTCTCTAAATCTTTTAAAAAAAAAAAGGTGATCTGTCAATATAAAGATGCAACATGGCTTATTCTAATCTCTTCTTATGAAAATGGTTCAATAAGGAAAAGTAATTTGCATTACTATGCAAATTTCACAATAAATTATGAAAGACAATAATTTGGGTGTGTCAGATCAATGTATTTCCTGGTTAAACTAGAAATTTTAACATGGCAATATTTTTGTATTACTGGAACGGGACAAGCACATGGAGCTAGATCTAATGCATGCATGGCAATGGCCAATACTGCTCCAGGTTTAATCCAAGAATTAAATCCTGTTCACACTATATTAACCATAACCTGTAAATAAAATCTCCTACATTCCTCTCTTCAATTCTGTTCTGAGAGACCATTCTAATTTGATTTTGATACTCTCCATTAAAACAACAACATAAAAGAATATATTGAACAGATTTTTTTTTTAACAAAACACAATATATTGTTGGATACAAACCTCTGTTTTACTTGAATTTATAGATTTGAAGAGGATATACTTTGAAATATTAAAAGGAAAATCAAAAGAAAGGAACTTAATAATTAAACCACAAGATGAAGTACGCATGGGACCGATGCAATGTCACTGATTCCAGGATGATGGCTGATACCGTTTGAAGTCTGTGGTTTCTTTGAAGAGTGGATAAAACAGCAATGAACTCTAATCACAGGGCTTCAAATTCTCTGTGGCACTAATGCACTGTAAATATTGATTTGCTTCTGCAGCTAAGGTGCCTTTTAAATAAGCACTTGAAACGGTAAATCTAATAATGAATTACAGGAAGTTTTAAAAGTCTAAGAAATACGGAAAAATTAAATTAAAAATCATGAAAGTTACCACTAACTCAGTTCTTGAGTCACATTCAAGGACTTGAAGTATTCAACCACAAGTCAACTTCAGAAAGAATTATATGTGACAGAAAATCCCATTAAGTTATGTATGTAGCCAGAGTTCTGCTAGAAAACGGTTATTTGTAGGATATATCCAAGCTGTATAACAAAATGCTCACATTCATAATCATGAAATTCTGACTGGAAGTCTCATTTTATTAAAAGCAAGAGCAGTTTCACTATAAATTATAAAAACAGCCAATACACATTTTATAACCATCTTTAAATGTTAAGAATACAGAGTTGTACCTTCCCTTCCTGCCAGCAATTCCATTTTTATTTTAAAAGGGTCGTCACCTTCTCTGATTTTCAAATACACTCACGAGCAAAAGCATTTGAGGATCTGGCAAATTTCATCCATAAAGCTGAATATGTCGTCCTGTGTGCAGGCATTCAGCACAATGGATGGTGGTCTCCCAGAACAGAGCTAATATTAACCTTCCCATACCAATTTCCTCTTGGACATCAGCTTGGAGGGCACGACTAGAAAAATACATACTTATATTTATATAGCATAGTCAAGATAATTTTACTCTGAAGATTTCTACTGATGTTTCAGCTCCTCAGTGGAACTGCAGCTTGCACAATCTGGTACACAGTGGATTTAAGGCATAGAAATGAAAAAATTATCTCACAGTCATTTCTGGCCACCTCGCACAGACCAACAGGCCCACAACTGATGAGTAGACCAGGACAGGACGTTTTTTTCTCCCCACACTCTAGAGATGACTCTGTGAAAATGATGATGCAGTAAAACCAAAAACCCTATGGGAAAGAGTAGCTTTTAACAAAAGACCTGCTCAGGTTAGACAGAGTTCCTGAAAGTGAGCCCATAGATATGTATCTACATCTGGGTGTGTATCTACATCCTGTGTATACACAGGACACACATAGATCCTACCCAAGCATCAAGAAAGCAGTCTGGGGATGGGAGACAGAAACTGAAGAGCTTTACTGCCTCTGTTGCCAATCCAGCTCATCATTCCCCTCAAATCCCCATCTAGAACCCAAGAGAAAGGATAAATCAGGGGTCATCCAGGGGCTGAGGAAAGCAGAACTGCTTCTTTCAGCTTGAAGTACTTGAAACTGCAAGTTAAGGTTTTGTCTATATTTAACTGAAATATCTGTTAAAAAATATTTAGATTAGGCTTGAGTTTCACACTCCAGCACAGCTCCCAGAGATCTGGTTCCAATTTCAGTAGGTTCAGTTCAGTTCCTTGTTCTACTCAGCTGGACACATCAAGAGCCAAACATCCCTTGTGACCTTCAAAAGCTCAAATCCCCTAATCAGTTCAAATTTCATATTTGAAAACCTCTAGAGACAAACTGATGGTAACTTCCAAAGACCACTAAGGCTGCTGTAAACCAGACTGTGGACAGAAGAAAAACAGTTGCAGACAAAAACCAGCTGACTGTGAACTTATCTACAAACTGCATTAAACCCTAGCAGCAGCTAACATAAACCAGCACTTCTCTACAAGATTAACAAAGCAGTGCAAATCAAATGTAGGCATCTTGAATCAGAAAAGAAGAAAATATTAAGAACTTAAGCAGTTCCAAGAGGTGAAGAACTTCC